AGATTTTTCTATCAAGATCTTTTTTTGTAAAATCTTTTTAGAACTCTAAGTTGGTAGGAGACTCAAGGACCGCACACACACTTCTCTGTGCTGATAAGCGTTTTACCAAACAAGCTCTAACTCCACATATACTGCTTCACTTGAATAGAACGCAAACTGACAATTTCACACAGCTTCTACACATTCACGACAGACTGAGCGTACCTTCACAAAGGTGTTCACAGCCATAATAGCCATGTCTGGCTGACTCTTGGCGTAGTTCATCAGGTAGAGATAGACCAGCTTTTTCAGTTCCAGATTGTCCGTCTGCATGCAGTTCACAACATCTGGAAACAGCGCGCTGAAGGAGAGACAGGATGTTATGCGACTTCTGACTCCAAAAGGAAGACGACGGACATATAATTCTACTGTGGATGTTTGTGAATTTTTTTCCATTGGCTCACCTGACATCCTTTCCCACTGTCATAGATGCGATGACCTTCTTTACAGCCTCCTTCTTCTTCTCTTTCTTATCACTGTTTAGCTCTGCTTTGAGCTCAAAGATCTCCCCTGGACACATAAGAGAAAAGAGGGAATCACTCATCTTGCAATCCATTTGGCAATATAGGAAAGACGAACGCGGTGCTGTGCAGCAGTGTCCACATTAACAATGGGCAAACTGGACAGTGGATACACTGACAGAGACGATGTACAGTATTCTATCAGAAACCCTCATGAATACAGAATGAGTAGAAAGGCAGGACTGGTAGTCTGGGTAGTGAGGGTTTGGATTCTAGGAGAAAGTGCTGCACTGCACCGTATGAGGGATTTTTTTCGACAACAGCACAATAACAGTTGGTACCACAGTCCTTGTTTACTTTGTGTTTGAGCTCTGTCAGATACGGCACATGACAGAAGAACACGGCGATATGAGAGCATAGCTTTGTATTGTAATACCGTGATCATATATCACTGTCAGAAAAATATTGCTATTAATATCACAAACCAATCTAAGCCACACCATCCAACAGGTGGCAAAGACAGCAGGCAAACACCGAAAATGAAACTTTATATATGTGTGTCTATAAAGCCGAGTATTATCTGAGAAATAAATCATATCTCAGGAATTGCTGACATTTATTTTTATTGAATAAAATGGAAGCGTAGATGCTGTTAAGGTATGCCATCACAAGAATCTTTCTAGATGGATAACAAAAGACTTTGTTGTGTGTTTGTTTACCCAGCTGTCTACATAAAGATTATACATGTAGTTTACATATCAATGTGGTATTACTTAGGCACCAATCTACACAATTTAGATTACACACACTGCAAGTAGACAGTCAATTTCAGACTTAAATTTAAATCCACCCGCTTAGAGTTTCCCAGCCAAGGTAAATCACTCCCAATCTCCTTCAAGATGTTAGCAACAGACTGTAAACAGCACTATCAGGCAGACACACAGGAAAAAGTAGATACTGACAGAAACATGCTGTGATGTCTCAAGTTATCCTAAACAAACAAACAAAGTCTGTGCGCTATCACTCATAATCGTGTGTTTGCACTTTCTAAGCCCTGTATGTGGGAACATACAGGGCTTTCCCAGAACAACGCTTCCGACATGTGTGAGAGGCATCATCCAAATACAATAGAAGGCACAAATACAGCACATCTCTGAGAGCTCATTCTCAGTACGTCTAGTTTGATTTACAATAACCAGAGTTGCTGGTCTTGGCTTCTCGGATCTTTCACTAAATAACCACTGACTAATTGCTAACAAACTAGTAAAGCATCAGGGAATGTTCCACTTTCATTTTTCAATAGAATCAATAAACAGATAAGTTAGTTACTGTGTTAACAAACTTTTAAAAGTTCAGGTTTCAGTTGATGGAGATAATAATACAGCAACACCTGGCTCACTATGCGACAGAATCCAAAAAGCGCAACAATGCACGGGTACTACCAAGACTGAATACAAGCTGATAACTGTAACCTCTCATTGTGGATTCTTACATTTTAACCTTGTACCACACGTACTAACGAATAGTAAAATATCAGACCTTTCTTGGTAGTGGTGAAATACTTGGAGTCCGTCATCTTGGATCCAAACTGTCGATTCTCCTGCAAAAGACAAAAGAGGATGAGAACGACGATTGTAAAAATCTTTTCCTGAGTGGAAACTTGGGAGCATCACAAGAGCAACAGGAAACACTAGAAGTGCAAGCACAGGGAAATAAAAGGAATTCCTGTCTTCTCCTGAACAAATTGGCAAAGATGCTGTGGAAAAGAAAACAATGGATTTTGCACAAATATCTCCTCTTTCAAAATGATTCTTCTTGGTCAGCATGTATGAGGCCAGAAAGCTCTCCTTAAGTCAGCTTTGAATGTTTTGATGTGCATTTCCTCTTCCTCAGTCCTGATTTCCGCTTGACCCTCTGGAAAAGATGGCTGCCGATGTGGACAACAAAACCACTTGTTTTTTCTATAAACTGGAGCAACAGTGTTCAAGGTAGAGGGATGATGCCTCAGCTTTACATGGATCAAACGTGGATCAAAATGTACTCAAAATATTGCCACTGTTTTGGCTCATGGACTGAAGATTCACATTCATTAAAAAGTTACACACATTATAGTGTCTCTAAATCTGAATTATTACTGCAATAAATGTGCTTTACCCTGTATATGTCCTGGTTACAATGCTATGTATACACACAGACATTGTTGTAGTGGTTGGAATTTACCTGCTCTGATTGAAACACCTCAATCAAAACTAATGACAAATCCATAAAGCTTTAAAGAATCCGACAGAAATTCAATTCAATCAGATGGTGCTGCTTGGAGGCCTTTTGTCAGTTTATTCTATAAAACTCCATGCTGGTACATAAAACAAACAGTGTTTAATGGATAATGTTATTAATCAAAACTTGATTTATTAGTCTGGATTTAACTAAATACAAACGATTAACTGTGTTTCAAACAGCGTCTGTTTGCAATAAAACTTGCAGATCCAGTGATGCTCCGCTACATGTTTACAGTTGTTTAACACCAAGTCTGTATTCATGGATGAGGCCTGTCATTTAATAATGCTAACTTGCTATTAAAGACAATAAACCGCGTTGACAAACTAGTGACAGCGCTTATTTGTTTATTTACTGAGTTTCATGTAGCTGTCGACACCCGACAGGTTGCTAACTAGCCGCAAGTGAACTAAATACGACGCGTTAACGCTGACGACAGAGCTAGCAGGACGACACCGCTGGCTACGGTGCGTTTGTACGGTAAATTACGCTACTGCTCTGCCAAACTGACTCACAACTTATGGTGTACTGTTAAACGGTTTGTACACTAACAGAATTTGTATGTAACACGAGTTGACTTTAACTTATACAGCTAACTTTAGCCGCAAAGTAGAGGAAAGGCTCGCTAGCTAGCTAGCATCAAGCTACAATGACGTTAGCATAGCAGGCTCGAGTGTGTACAGAAGAAGCACCCTGAAAAATGTAATTAACGCTAACGTTAAGTTGTGTAAATTAGTGAAGATAGTCTTGCGGTTATCGACGCTGCTCGATCCGTTACTCACGCATAATTGATTGGCCCATTCCTGCATGTTTGCAGTAGTTAGGGTGGATGAATGAAACTGATGCTAAAGGCTAGCCGCCTGCTGCAGAGTGTCTGTCAGTGTCAGCTAGCGCCTGGCCACTTCTCCAGCTAGCAAAGCTGAGACATGACCTTCTAAGTAGGGGCTTAAGGAAGCCTTTGCCGGGATAGTTAAGCTCTTAATCTATCAGCCTAATTCAGACCTTACCCAACGAATTAGCGTACCTTCTGGAGTTAAATTTAAACTCGCCACGCTGAGAATTCAGAGAGAAAAGCTGCACAAACATCTTACCGTGACAGGCGTAGTAGGAGCTGTGATGGCCTTCGGTCCCCTCCCACTTGATTTACTTCCGTCTCTCCACAAAATAACAACTGGCAGCCAGCGACAGGCTTCATTCACAGAGGGGGGCTCATGAGAACAGCTCTGTCAATGACATGCTCTCTGTAGCACTAAGATCAGTAGTGTTTGGGTGCTGCAGGCCACACAGCATCCACTGATAGAAGAACATAAACAGGAGCTTACAAAGATGTGAGTGTCAAACAATAATCTGAAACAACTTTATGGAAGAGATATCTGGTGGAGTTACACTGAGAACAACACGATCAGGGTTTGTAAATAAAGTGGTAATATGTGCAGTTTATTTGCCAGGTAAATGGACTGATATGCTCCGTGTGTGGCCTGTGTTCCTGAGTTCAGATTAAATGCTTCATTGTTTATCCATTAATTTAAATGTGTGTATACCAAATATTGGACGGATCTGAGTGTGATGCACCATCTAAATAACACCACAAGCCAGAGCCTCGAAAAGAACCATAAAATTAAATTAATGCCCCTCAGAAAATGAATACTACAACCTTTACAAGGGTAGGATTTTTCATACCAATGCTGTTTGGGACTGTAGTAGTTTTAGCTGCGTTATTTAACCTCTTAAGACCCCAGTGCTTTTCTTTATATGCATTTTTTTTAAACTAAGAAAAAATAAAAAATATAAAGAAAATAAAACTGTATAGATTTTTAAAATATATATATTAAAAAACAAATAACAAAATAATAATGAAATGAAAAATACTTGTTTTTTCATTTCATTATTATTATTATTTAATATTTATTATTTAATCATACAATATTAAAAATATATTTAAAAAATATTATATATTAAAAACAAATAACAATAAAAAATGATAAAACATGTAAAAAATAAAATAAAATAAAATAAAATAAAAAACTACTTAACTGACCACTGTGGTAATAGAACCCAAAATGTGATGTTCACACATGTGGATGCCAGGTCTTAAGAGGTTAACCAAAATTTACATACTAAATGTAGGTCCAGTGCAAACTTTCAAGACATTTGAATTGAGATCATTTCAGTGTTTTAAGCTCTTTTTCACTTTGGTCACAATTTGAACTTCAGACTGCAAAATCTGCACAAAGAAATCATCATTTACTGGACAATTCAGATGATTACACACAGTATCTTACATCTTATGCAACAAAGAAATTTGGTTTCAAGTACAAAAGCATGTGTAATAAATCACATAGTGCATGAAGAATAACATCGTCACCATCCACATTCACATTCTGGCTTTTCTGCAGGACGGCAGCCAAACATCCTCCGCTCTGCACACGGCTGTGACCACATGAAAAATTGATCGGAGCTAATTCGGAAACTTCAGAAGAAAATATTTATTACAAGAACAACTTGACAGTCTTTCCAACTTCAAAAAAAGAGTGAAATGTTGCAGTATTGCTATTTCATACACACAAATCCCCACGATGTCGAGCAATCTGTACATTGAAGTTTGAGTGAAAATGACTTTAGCAAACAAGAAATTGTCTCATCACAAACATTCAGATTTTGCCGATTGGGAACACAGAGGAGTGGGAGCCTTGTGAAATTTTGCAAAGTTGTGCAGGACAAAAAAAAGCAAACAGACAATCACGGTTTTGATGACTGATGGCCAAATATACGTCTGTGTTTGCATGAAGTCGCACTTCACATAACTGGTAGATTTCAGAATGCAAATGTTTTCAAATAAACCAAAATGACAATAATTCAAGACATAATAATCTGTTTATACAAAATAATAACCAGCTGCATGTTCAACCAATGCAGCTCTAACAATACTGATACATCATCAATTATTTGTAGCAGTGAGGAGTCAGCATTAAATCAAATTACTGTATTTTTTAAAATGGACCAAATATGTTTAGCGTGTCTGCAGGATCATTCCAGTTTTTTTAATAACCGGGAACATTTCCAATGGATTGTGTCTCTTTACAGGAAACTGTTGAGCAAATTCAAAAACCTTAGAATGCCTCACCTCATTTGGATTTCCCTAAACACTTATTCACTTAAAGGACTTGGGACACAGATATCACTTGAGCCCACTGAGCATCGATTTCATAAATAAATAAATTAGACCAGCGTGACCTTCCTCTTTCCTCCAACTCTGTACATAGTCTCACAGTATGTACACAAACATATACACACTCCTTATTCTTTAACCCGATCATTGTTAGTGTCCTGCAGAAACAATTTTATTAAAATTTTTTTCTAATTCCCTCCACATGTCTCTGTGGTAAATATTTATAAAAATGATTCCAAATCCTAAAGACAAATAGTCACTGATTTCACTTTCTCAAATTGTTCTGGAGGTTATACGTTTGCTTTTTTTCTGCAGAGCACTGACACCACAATTCCAACCTTTTCAACTTTCAAACATATATTACAAAGTCCACATTAAAAAGAGAACTGTATCCTCTGTAGCTGGAGACTGGCCTCTCGTACTGATGTCGTCTGTGCAAGAGCTTCACAAGAGAACCTGAATATCCAGTTACAGCATCTATTATTCATGCACCTTTGCACACATGCAGACACTCGAGTCATCCATCAAACTTCACCCACATTATACCATCGTTAACAGCTCTAACGGTTCTAAATCAGCACCAGGATATGTTATTAGAAACATATCAAGAAAGGGAACAGTGTCAGGATAATATATGTATTTTTTTAAAACTGTGAATAAAACATGTCTGTCTTGAGCCACTAGATGTCACTCTGGCTTGTCTTTGAAATCCATCCGCTAAGTAGGTTATCTGGCTTCTTGTGTTGCGAAACGGGAATTCGTTTTTACATCTTTGTCATGATTTGTACATCAAGTGTAATTTATAATTAAAATTGGCAAAGTCTCTCACTTTTTTTTTTCTCTCCACATTCACACCCAAACTCTTCGATGCCCAATATTCTAAACAGTAAATGACGGCAATGTCGTGTTACCAAAGAGATCTCAGTGATGTTGCGCGAAAACATTCAAAAACTAACCTGTGAATAAATTTTAAGGCAAAGGGAATAGTCAAGGCATTTCCAACACCAATATTGCATAGCTAAGGCAGCACAGAACGTAATACAGTGAATATATACATTAAACTGTATATTCCATGCCTTTTATGTACAAAGTGCCCACATCTCTCAGCGAGCACATGTATTTACACATTCAGACTCCTAAGCGTGTGACTCCTGCACATATATATATATATATATACGTATACATATATATATATTTAGCATTGTATTCCAGAGTACAGTTTGGTCAGAGGAAGAGCTCTCAACATCTCCGTTTCAGTGGCAATGACACAAAGTAATATAACCTTCACCGCTTCTCATATTTTAACACTTAATCCACTTCAAAGTTAAAATGTTGTACTGCATTAAACAAAAAAATCTGTAACACATTAAGCATTCGAAAACAAATAGCATCTATCTTGACTACATCAATTGATTGTGAGAAGCTGACATTAATAACACCGGACGACTGTACAGAAATTGGTAGTGCTCGTTCATAAAGTGAGAGGAATGATGGGGGTACCTTTGTCTATGTTACCTATTTCTATATTGTGAGTATGAGTTTACTGAACCGTATATGAAGACCACTAATGCAGAGACACTGAAGAAAATCGCAGTCATCCTACCAGTATTTTGACTATCAAGGCAAGCAGAGAGGCAAACCACAAGAGGGAGCCAATCCGTGAGACTAAAGGTTTAGTGTTTACACTGTTTATAGAGTTGCGGTTTTAAATCCCTGGCACTTCACCATGCCCCTCAGTGGGGGCACATGGCAGCACATATGCTCTCTCTCTATCTTTGTGTATCAACCGTGAGAATTTCACAAGTGCCCTGTAAAAAAAAGAAAAAAAAGAAAAAACACACCTTATGATTGGCAAAAGCATCCCCATGCAGACATTAAAATTACAGTAATATTAAAGACCATTCCTTTGGTAATAAATAATTTGGCTTGAGTGCAAAAAAAGCAATGTGAACCCCCTGCAGGTATTCAGGGGAGAAACTAAATGAAAAAAAAAAAGAGTGTGTGACATGCAATGGAAACAGTCTATAGCCCAGTCTGGAGTCTTTTTTTTACACAGTAGTTCAAGTTCATGACAACAACCTTCTGTGTCATATCCATCAGTTTGTGCTACATCCAAGCTTCAGTGTCCAGGCTGCCTGACTGTCCGGGAAATGAGCAGTCTTTGTTGCCCATGGCAGGAGAACGGGGCTGAGGATGGATCATGTCTGCGAAAGCCTGGTGGAGGCTCTTGCATGTGGCTGGACGGCCGGCAGAGTGGGAGCTCTGCGGGGACAGCGGTGGGGTGTGGCAGGGGGAGAGAGTGTCGTGAGCCTGCAGGTCTCTGTAGCTGACCGGGGTGGGGATACGCGAGGGGCTGTTTTCTGGCCTGTTGTCAGTGCGGGGCCTGAATCTGGCTCCCAGTTTGTGCTTAGATATCGCGTCTAAACTGTTTGATTTTCTCTGCAGCTTCTTCATCTGCAGCACTTCTCCATCAGCGTTCCCGTTAGTCAAGGGGGAAGTCGGTGGAGGGGACTCGGAGCGGGATTCGCTCAAGCTGAAGCACATGGAAGAGTTTTCACTCGAGGAATCCTGGAAGGAGCAGTCCTCAGAGGGGGGAAGGGGCACAGGTGACGGACAAGCCTCTGGGGGCGGGAGGTCATCGCTCCCGTCACCATTCTCTAGGTCATAAGGTAGGTTTGGCTGGTGATTTTCCAGAGGAACGTCTGCTTCAGGCCGTGTGCCCCAGCCCAGCTGACCCTGTTGGTCTGTGAGGCCTCCTGCAGGAGGGCAACCTCCGTGGTCTCCATTCATGTTCCTACAGTGGAATGCAGGTTGTGAGGGGATCTGATTCATTAACTCTGTGTCTTCTATACCTGGCAGGGACGATGGAATTTCCCTCTCTTCCATGGAGCTAGAGATGGCCGGGAGCTTCTTGAGACCCCCGCTACGATCACCCCAGTGCTCTGGCTCTCCTTGACCAAAGCTGTGTGGTCCACTAAAATTGTGCCCATAAAGTAAATTCAAGGGGTCGTCCATTGAGAAGGGACGATTAGTTCTCTTGGATTCTCTGAGGTCAGGCAGAGTTCCTATCTTTGCCCCCACATTCAAGGAGGAGGTGGAGGAGTTGGAGGAGGAATAGGCAGAGTCAGTGACATTAGCATCAGTGATTGCCGGCACTGGATGTGTCCCAGCTCCCTGCAGGGCTGCTCCTGCTGGAGCTTTACTAAACACTCCTTTCACCTGCTGCGTATTGGCCAGAAACTCAGCCTCAAAGCTGCGATACAGGTCCTGCTCCCTCTGAGGGTCTAATGTCGGCAGCATTTGGAAGCCAAGTCCTTCCTCCTCAGGCTCCTGGCGCTCCAGGCCAGACCAGTTCCTGTGGTGGCCTCGCCCAGCAGAGCGAGCGCCCTGCGAGATCCGAGGGGGGCGGGAGGTGTGATGATGAGCGTTGCGAGGAGATGAGTGTGGTGAACGTCGACCTCCTGAGGTGACAGGAGGCAGCAGTCTGCCTTTGCCTATGGAGGGGGAGCGAGGGGCAGGGGGTCGAGGGGTAGTTATAGTCTTCTTGCTGGGGCTGCTGTTGTTCTGAACTCCTTTTGCAGGGGAGTTAGAACACGATGATGACTGCCTCTTAGAGAACCCACCACCCACTCTGGGAGAGGATGGGGCCGCTTGTTTGGCCCGAAGGTCCTCCCGTCTGTCGGACGCTGGGGGCTGAGGGTCTCTGTGGGACAGACTGGGACCTGGGCTAGCGTCAATGGACCGAGTGCGGTTGGGTACCTTACTCTGGCTGTGGGAACGAGGAGCATGGAGCCTCCTCGGGCCCTCGTTACCCAGCGAGCGGCCCCTCTCCGTGCGAGGCGTCCGTGCTCCATCAGAGGACCCTTGCGGAGGGTTTGGTTTGAGCATTGGAGCAAGTGCAGAGCGTTCCCGTGATTGGCTGCGAGCACGGGGCAGCGAAGGACGCAGGGATGGGGTCTGGTTTCCAGCTCCTGGCCTCTCAATCATGTGCTTCCCTTCCTTGCGATTGACAAGCAGCACTACCTCTTCACCTGAACGCCGCGAGGGACCGCCAAGAGAATGCCGTCCCCCTCCTCCTCCTGTACTTCCTCCGCCCTTAGAGGAGGCTGTCGAGGAGTCGCTGTCTCCAGACAGACGTCTCGTCACTGGCAACATTGTCTCCTTATTCCTACAATGTATGAAGGAGACAGAGTCAGACACATTTATTATAATACCATATACTTCAAAGACATAGTCCAGAACTTTCCCACTTTGCAGTAGCATCACTGCACAGGTGGTACAGAAGCACCATCCAGCCGCTGACACAGCTCTCAAGACACCAGCAGATTTACAGCCAATATCATCTTCTTATCTTTCTTTCATGATGTGATTTCACGTAATGTGCAATCTTAAGGATTTCTGAGTATTTCACACAGACAGTGTTTCTGGCCTGAGGCTCATGTGTTTCTTGGAACAGTGGACAGCGGCAGTCGGGGGGATTACAGGGAAGATGAGAACAAGTGGGGGCAGGATTAGAGGTCTCATAGATTTTCTAGTCCAACACACACCACTGCCCTTTCCCAACCAGACGCCTCTCAACTGTCACGCACCAGTAGGACCAGCAGGTTCAACTGGGTAATCAGCTCACAGCTGACCTCATAGGAAGAACAAACCTAGATAGATGGATATGCTGGGTAGTATCCACAGAGTGTAACTTAGACATTTAAAGCACATTTGCATGACACAAAACTCACATTAATTTTATATTCAGGTAATAAAACAGCATTTGGTCGCTCTCTAAACTAATTATGATGGAGTGAATCAGTCTGTTTGATCCATAGCATTTACAAATAATTGTTTTACTTTTGATGCAGCAGTAAAATCAGTATAACAAGCTGGTTATAAAATTAGCTGCCAATCAGTTTATTCATGATAACCTGCTGCAGTCCTTTGTTCTGAGTTTTACTGTCAGAGATACAGTTTTGTTTTCCTTCAGATCACAATCTCCGCCTTTTAAATTAGTATTTTATTACGCTGGACTTGCAGTTATCCTCAGAAATTAGATTTGTACATATTCAGGCATAGAAATTTCCCAGCACGGAGCCCACCTGTTGACCTACTTCCCCAGTTAGCAGTGAACAGTTGTCCAGGGATAGTTTGCAGATTAGTCTTTATCTAGTCTGGCGCACCCACGCGGGGTTAACCTGAATGAGCTGTTGCTTTGACGTCTGGGCTGATTTATTGCTCAAAACAGAAATGAGCCACATATTGGCTCGCAGCCAAAGTAAACAACCATTCAGCTCCTAATTGTGTTGAACAATGGCGCCTTCGCACTCTGATATACTGGAAAGGTATGTGACCAACTGAAACTTTTACCAGCTCAATAAAAAAGGCTTAAGGAGATTTTCTTGTCTTTATGTCTCCACAGAAAGAGTCATGTGTGATGATGCGACAGTTACAATCGTGACTCCTTTATGCCACTTCAGAAGCTTATGACGGAGGACTGATGTGTGGTTTCATTTGTCGCTGGCTTCAGACAGGTTCAGACCATCTGTTTACTGTGGCAAGAGAAGAAAGGTCCGAAGCTGCAGCTCTCTCAGTATCCCAGCCATGATAGACAGTCAATAGTCTAATTAGCTGAATGAAAGTGGAAGAGAAAAGAGGAGCAAAGTAAACATGTAAATGTCAAGCTGGTAGCCACTAGGAGGTGCTGCAGGGTGGCTGTGTGAGACGGATTTATCAGGGCAATGTCACCTGAGATTAGATAAATCTGCTCTGGTCTAATCTGTGGCTTCCCGGTATGTGTGTGTGGTGTGTGTACGGCCTACTCTTGGTGTGTGTGTGTTGTCTGGCTGTCCGTCTGTGGGCACAAAAGAGCAAGCAGCAAAAATTGCCCTGCCAGGCAACTTCTTAGAGATTAATTCCTCACCAAGGTATCACACCCTTATCCGCACACTTGCGTAGGCGCACAGACTCACCTGAGAGGATTAAAGTGGCGGGGCTCTGAGCGGTCTCGTGGCGGCCGCGGGAGGAGAGTCCGTGCTGCACCCGAGTCGGGCTCCATGTGGACGGCGGAGCTCTGAGACCGGCCCGACCGCGTGGAGGAGGACGAGGAGGAGGAGGCGCAGGGGGCAGAGAGGGGCTCCAGGGAGCGTCGGTCGGGGGGCTTGTAAGGTGCGATGCCGTCGTTTCTCCAGTGTGGTCCAGGGCTGGTGGAGCGGGAGGAATGGGCACTGGAGGACTTGCTCTGGCCTCCCTGACCTTGGCCGCTAGCCTTAGCCTGGTGGTAGCGATGGGCTGCACAGACAGATTGGCAACAAGTGGTCAAGACAAACCTCTAACACTGGCAGACACTGTGTACAATCACCGAGGATAAAAGACATTTAGTGGTCAAGTGATACACCACAGCTATCAACATCAATGGCATCAGGGGCTTACTGGAGATGGAAGCAGGAGATAAAACACTGCCTCCGCTTCCAAGAGATTCTTACTTGATCCCTGAATGATCCCATCATTTTGGTTGAACATTTATAGATCACAAATGTCCTGTTCCTATAACCGCTTAATACTGCCTGATCTTCAGCGTGGCCCTTTGTGGTTACAAATATAACACCAATTATGATTCCAGCTAGTGTCAGCTGTCCAGACAGGCGTCTCCACTGCAGCAGCAGAGGATGGACGGTCTCACGGTCTTATCAAAGTGAGTGTAAACACTGAATGGTTCGGACAGGTGTCCAGTTTATAAGCAACAAAGTCTTGCGTTGACCTGAGTTGCTATACAGATGTGTTGGAGGATCAGACAGTGGGAGGGAAATTACAGAATCATATGTTTGACATTTTCCATTACAATCTTGCATCATTTTCCACACCTACATTTTTTGGCAGGATGTAAACAGAGTTCAGTGTGACACAGACTGGGTGATGTAACAATGCCAAATTAGTCACACAGCAAAAAATCTGATGTATATGTGCAATAGCACAATTGAGAAAGGCCTGAATTGAAATCTACAAAGACTGAATGATGAATACGATTATCCAACATTGCTGACCTTCCCGGTGTCTGCTTCTTGTCGGAACATAGCCCATCAGACGTGAATCATGTTGTTTATAATCTTATATGTATGATGAATTATGCAACGCTGAGCCATGACAACAAAGTTGTTTTGTAAGGGGCTGAATAGGAAGTGACCTCACCGAAAGCAGCACAGCGACATGGGTCATGCTTGTCCAAATAGTGCTCTAATGTGTCCCAGCCCCCTCCGACACGCACCATCACATGAGTCCGAAGGACCTGAGGGGGGAAAAGAGAAAACAAGGCTTCAATAGATGAAGTTAAAAACAAAACAGTAGCACAGACACTCATTTATTCACAAATAAAATGGCTAAAACCTTTTTGATATACTGCACCATCACACACACAAGTCAATAGATATGCAAATGTGACAATCAGGGCAGCTTGCTGAAGGCTGGCCGGCCCTCGGTGTTACATAACATCTAGATGCACCCCTGCATGTGCCCCTGCCTCCCCCTCCCTCCTCCCCCACAACTCCTCTTTCTCCCACATCACCCCCAGCTGCTGCCATTATGAGGGCTGTTCATTGCTATGCCAACTCACAATTAAACAGAGTACGGTAGCATAATAAAGAGCCAAAGTGCTGTGAAAGACACTCTTTTTTTAGCGCTTCCCACTCCCCCTCTCTCTCTCTCTCATGCCTCTCAGCTGGCTTCCCCATGTTTTCAGAGGGAAGCGGGGGTGAATTAGCATGGCATCAACTCACCCCGGCTGTCCACTCTGCTCCTCAGCTGAGATTCCAGTTATCAGGGAGAGGAGCGGAGCGAGGAGGGAGGCCAGGATAGCCATAACAGAGGAGGGGGAGTGGGTGGATATGTCACTTCCTACTCTTCTCTGTTCTTTGAGGCATACACATCCACAAGATCAGACCAAAGAGCCTCGCGCCCTCCAGGCAGAAGCTGCCTTCACTGAAGCAGCACACTTGGCTTGATGCGACAGCCCTGTGGATGCATCCTCCTGCCTTGGGTTGTGTAACAACGGTCTGCCAGCCACATGTTTTAAAGGTTGCACCCGTGTCTTTGAGGGCACGCGAAGCGAAGCCATAATGGTAAAGCTGTGTGGGCTGGCACAGTATTTATTTCCAACGAATGACACGTGTCGCAGCATCTCATCTCCAGGTCCCTGATCGTGGTCAGAGCGAGGCCACAGACGGGGCATGTGCACCGAGGTCTGACCCCACCTTCCCTCCAATACAATCCCCACCAATCCACTACAAGTCTTTGCTCCCCTACTACATCAAATCCATCAAAACAGCTGATCTGCTTATCTCTGTCAGACCTGCGAGCATAAACTGCTTACTCTCCACTGCTTTGGCCTTATGTCAGTAACAGGTTTACTGTTTGTGTGATGCTGCATCACCGTCATGAGCCAGCAGTGGAGAGCAGGGTTGCACGAGGTTTCAGCATATCTTTAGGATCAGTGCAATATGAACTTCAACAATAAAAAGCTCACGAGGTCTTGCAAAGACAGATTTGCATCGAGATACGAAGCTGAAACAGCAGACGAGCGACTAAATGCAGCTGACTGAAGCGTCTCCTCTTACTTTCTCTGTGATGCCTTTTTCCATGTGTCCTTAAAGTTCACACCGGGAGTTATAGACAAAGACACATTTCATTTTCATACTTCTATTTCAGGCATTTTTCGAATAATTTTTTTTAAATCTGTGAAAGTGGAATAGCTTTCAGGTGTGGTACTGGCTCGTGGGTGTCCAAATAAATATTTAATCGCAGTGTGATAAATGCATGACTATAAAGAGAATTATTGAGGATCTTAAATGCTAATTGCACAGTAATAATATTTAGACTCATTCAATTCACAGCAGTCATCTCATACCAGTATAATCCTGTGTGGTAAAGATAATCCTTATTTTTTTGATATGAGCTGCGAAAAAACATAAAACAAACTGTTTCAGAAACAGCAGAAAGCAGCATGCGTGCTACAAATTGCTGACACTGTTTAAAAACAGAGAAAAACAGACGTAAATTACATTATGAAGCTATAACAACCTGAACTGGAAGCAAAATTCGAACCAGACCGATCGAAATTCCAGTATAAACACAGACGAAATCTCTTTCCCTGCATTCTGCATCACTTGTTTCCACAAACAACATGCGTTTCATATTTTAAACATGATGCCGCAGCTCTGCCCATCAGTCCGCTGAGGCTGAATGGATGTTTAGGGACCATGTTCCACTTTAGAGCTGTGGCTCAGCTGCCAGATTTCCCAACAACTGCAGGGGCATCTTCACCAGTACAGAGACCCAATCCCTGTTTCTATAGCAACGGTGAACAGAGAGACTTCTTGTCATCATCGCGGGGGCGTGTTGAACCAATTTCTTCCTAAATCTTGCTGCTGCGTTAAAAAAAAATCAAGCTCATGCTTCATTTCAGCTGTTGTGCCCCTCGACTGAAGGCATCTCCTCCCACTGGGGAGCAGCCTCCCTCGCAGACAAAGATGCCTTATTAACTCCCCCTCCCCTCTCCTCCTCTCCCCTCCCCTCCTCCGTGTTCATAAGGTCCGTTTGCCCATTTGCTTTCATGACTTCATCTCTATGTTTCAGCCTGAGATCCTTGTAACAGCTTTGGCAGATGAATAGGGGGTTTTTTTTGGCTTTCAAGGCGGCTGCCGGTTTCCTCCCGTCAGAAGAATAAGGGAAGCGTGTTGGGTGCACTTGTAGCTGCTTGGGCATATGTATAATCCCCCCCGTCAACCCCAGTGAGGAATCAGGAGAGGGCGGAAACAGCATGAAGAGAGCCAATCTGACAAGTGAAAGGCTCCCAGACACACTTGTGCGCACACACAGAAACACACAAAGTCCACCGCCATATTTAAATGTGTGTGTTGCGTTGAAATGGCTGCTGCACATGTTACACAGATCAGACACATCATACTCCATCTTAGGGACTGTATGGAAAATATACGGGGTGGGGTGGAAAGCAGGAAAGAGGGAGCATTATATAGCGTAATTTTTCCTAAAGAGGGAGAGGGATCATTTAGTTGGAGAGCGGTGAAGCCTTTTTTTTTGTTGTTCCACAAACAAAATAGTCACAAATAATGGTTTTGCTGTGTTCAGTGGGTGATAAAAGCAAGCAGAGGACAACAATTCTGTCTCCATTTCAGGGCTTTGAACAAATAAAGCAGTTTTTAGAAACACAGAAAACGTGAATTTTGTGATCAAACAGATCTAATGTAGTGATTAGATGTTATCTCTACGAATAATAATTACCCCTTCCCAAGAAAGCATTTTAATTTGTCATATATGTCATAATTCAGGTTTAGCGTTTTATTGTGTAACTCCTTAATAAAAGATAGAAAACGATCATCAATTTGTCACATTTGCCATCAATTTAGAAAATGCTAATCCACGTGTAATTCCTATACACACATTGGAAATCCTTTATGCTTTGCTTCATTTGGTGAAGAGGCCGAGAGAAATGTGTTGCACCAACACTACATTTTAAACTGTCAGTGCAGTTTTTTTCTAGGTCAAGGAGAGAGCGCACAGAAAATACTAATAATACTGGGGAGGGCTTTGCTATTTTAGAAATTTAAGATTCAACCACTGTCCACAGAGCAATAATTTTCAAACAGGCTCTTGCTATAAATTCAGTACACGTGACATGTTCGGTGACTTTGCTGCACCGACTACGTAGACAAAGCCGTTTCTTTTAAGGGGAAGGGTGTGTCATACATTTCATCACAAAGAGTGGACCGAGTGGTGCCTCTAAATGTGAAAAAAAAATAAAAAATGCCGACATTACTGGCAGTCAGACTGACCCACAGTAAAATGTAAATGTAGGCAACTTGGAAAACCATCCAAAGGGTCCATTAATCTGGTTGTGGTACATTTTAGGTAAGTGAGACGAAATCGATCGCTGGTATCAGGAAGCCTTCCTGTGCTGTCCTCTGAGGCCTGTGGCTACAGTTGCAGCCCTCGAACTGAAAACGAGACGTACAGTCCAGCAGAAACAGGCTGCAGCCAAGATAAGGAAAACTCAGGAAATGACCTAAAGCTCTATTTGTGTCGAGATGGGAAGAGTAGAGTTCTGGGTGTGGGCCAGATGAAGGCAGTTAGTAAACACTCACTATAGAGGGAGAAATCACAACGCTGTTACTGACTGCACTTGTACGTTTCACTGAGGTTTGACTGAGTCCAGCAGCTCAGCGGTTTATCTGTTGCTGCCTAACCTTGGTCTTCTTGAAACAACATGTGCCAACGTGCCATATGCCAGCACCGTATGGTTCCATGCAATTACTGCACGACTTCTGTGCTTTGTGCCAAGTGGGTATGTGAGCTGAACATGTGTACAACTGACCTAAAGCAGTGATTCAGGTTCATTAAAGCTTTGGGCTTCGTTTTCAGTTACTTCAGAAAAGTGAATTTCTGAGATCTGGTGTCGATGTACAGTTATGGAAAACTGGTGATTTAAAATTAAACAATGGCATCAGCAGAAGGCACATATGCGCTGATAATACTGTAAAATCTGGATTTAAAGCTGCATTTAAAATACATTAATTTAGTTAATTTATGTACAAATCTAACAAAACAGTCATCCTAACGATCCAAGGTGCTGAGTTTGACTGTCAGAGCTGCAATGATGCAAAACTGTACATTTTTACTGACAAAATAAGGTCAGTGTGTTCATATATCTAATTTTGTTGGACTTTTTTTTTTTTTGGTATAATGACATTAAAGGATTCTGATCATTTTACCCTTAAAATAACAACAAAAAAAGTAATGCAATTTATTTCTATAGCACCTTTTGAAATTGGAGTTCAGTACAAAACAGAGCAACACTTAAAAAAGAAACAAACAAATGTTAGAAAAGACTATAAAATATAACACAAATATCTGTCTGAACTGGTTGGTTTAAAAAGCCAATGCACAGACTGAGCTTTTGTGGCACCAAGGAGGAGCTTAATTCAGCATATTGGGGCTAAAAGTGTCAAAGTGTTGGTTTTAAGCCTGGGCTGTGGTCTTTTAACAGAAGCTCATTCTCTGACTTGAGGGGTTTACATGCAGAATAAAGGGTTAAAAGTTATGAGTCGCAGAGTGGAGTCAGACCATGTAGAGATTTAAAAGTAATCTAATTGGATTCTGGTGTGGAGCCGGTGTGATTTGGCAGCACTGGAGTGATTCGTTCCCTGAGTTGGGTATTTGCGAGCAGCAGTAAAAGCAAACAACACGCTGACCGATGTTTCTATTGGACGTCGGGGTTCGAGGCCTACCCGGATGAAGATCAGAGCGCTGGAGTCTCCCACTTTGTACTTCCCCTCGGACACCTTGATCATAGGAAACTGAGCCGGACAGGAACAGCGGCCCAGAATCTCCCGCACCTGTGGACAACACACACACACACACACACACACACAAATGAGTAAACACATGAACATGATGCACACTTCTGAGAGGAACCTCGCAGTGATCCCTTCCTGTTTTCTCCAGCAGCGCCCCCACATTATGTCAGGTCATGTTTAGTCACATCTCTGAACAAAGCACTGCCGGACCTCAGCGCTGTGTGTCAGCAGCACAATGACTCCGTTTTATGGCGGTGAGAAACCAGCAGTCTTGGCTGCCTATGCGTATGAGGGTGTCGGAGCGTGTTTGTGCGTCATCTTCCTGCCAAATTTTCTCTTTCCCGAGCACCTAGTGGGTGATGAAGTGCCCCGCCTGCCGTTTAACCACATTAAAAACCCCATCTCTTCAGAACATTTTGGCCATTCAGTTGACCGCAACAAGTCACAAAAACACATATCTGGACGTTCTAATGAATGCTCTGTAGCCCTCTGAATCCTACATGACAGCGTTTCTGCTCGCAACAAACTGGAGGAGAGAAAGAGCTCAGAAAGCAGACTGGTGGCGATGATGTCAGCAGGCCTGCGCTGCCAGCTGGGTTTCGAGTTGAGAGAGTCGGAGCTGGTTTGCCCTTGCTGTGGTCGGGGGTGCTTATTAAGCAACTGGAGGCAGACACAAATGCAGGGTGGAGTGAGATGGGCCCGTGTTGCGTAGGTTTGTGTGCTCTCCCTGGATTGGACGACTTTGATGTTTTTCTTGGCGTCTCTCTCGCAGACAAAGGCGTGTGCACACTTGTCGGAGAGAAAGTAAGAAGCAGCAAAGTGGACTGAGGGAAGCACAGGAGGAGAGCACAGATAACTGCTTTATAACATGCACGAGCAGCCTTCATAAAGGGCACGGGTGTATTTTATTGATATTAAAGCAATAAAATGACACGCTGGGGGGAAATACCGGGCCGTGAGCTTTTTACCCTTTAGCTCCTTTCATGCTGTACGCCGAGCGCCTGGGATGGAGCTTATTTGTGTGTGTTCCTGGCCTACAGCACCTCCATTATGGTGTATTCAGAAGATTAAGGTGGCACCTTGTTATTTTCTTGAAATAGCACCCTTCTTCTATCCCAGTGCTAATTAAAGAGGCTGGAATCAGAGCTAAGCCTCAGCATCTCACCTGCCCCTCTGGTCTCCCTCACACCTGCTTCTGTTGAGCTTTCTTTGCTTCCTTTCCTGTTTGATTTGCTTTGTTGTGTATCAGCCTTTGTATCTGGCCCGTGCACTCGATGACCAGACCTATATTTGCCTTTTCTTTTTGTTTTGTTTTCAGCTCGCTCCTTCTCTTTTTCTCTGCCCTGTCGCCGTGTCTTTCATTCTGTCAGTAGGTGGACGAGCCCTGTTTGGAAAAACCCCAGTCAGTGAGTTAATGGAAAGATTGCCATGGCAACAGACACACACACATAGCCTTACCCTTCCCTTTTTGACTGTACAGTTTGCCTTCTTTTTTTTTCATTCTTGCTATAGTAAAGCCAGAGCTGTTCAGCTGAGGTCATAAGTTTTCCTCTGGAGGGAAGGTGAAGCGCCTCATATGAAACACCGAGCAGGATCCAGACCAGAACCGTGAGGTGTTTTAATAATAACCTGATCAATAGCAGCTCGGACACCTGAAGTATTTGCTCTGCGGAGCCCTTGACATGAAATGTGTGCACTTCCCATGTCTTCACTGTGTCAACAACGACTGCTGCACTGAAAACAAAACACACTGCAGAGGGAGACCGAAGGGGAGGAGAGACACAAGGTCACGCAGGAAACATGCGGAAGTGGAGCTGGAACGCTGCGAAAAAACTGAGGGATGAATTATAGATGCACGCTGGTCACACAAGAGACAATTTCAGCAAAAGCTGCAGATGTTTGAGAAGGAAAAGAGAGAAAAACTAAGAGCGACTGAACAATCCACAGCACGCCCCTATGCTGGGAATCTCCTCTATCTATCTCAACACAGGAATGCGGAGATGTTTTTGCAGGAACAGAAACTTTCTCATTTTCAAGAAACTCCACAGGAATTCCCCTGAAGCTAAGCGGCTCCATTTGTCACTGTGGAGTTTAATATAAAGAGCAGATACAGCACATATTGCTTTAAAGATCTGACTGCTCAGATCACGTCATATCTGCTCAGCATGAGTCAACAATCTCTTCATTCTTTTCCTTCCCGACCTGCAAACATCTGAAGGGCCATTCATGAACGAGAGTGAACCCTTGGGATGAGCAGAGGAAATGGGAGGGGGAGAGATAAAGATGTTTAGGCTCTATCCTCCATATTCGTTACTGATTTGAAATGTAGACTAACACGCTACCCTCAGACTGCAGGTCACAGCTTAACAACGTGCTATCATAACAAAGGAATGCAGGAGGTTTGCCAGTATTGTTCTACAAAGTGCATCTGCTGTTGTTTGATTTGAATTCATTGGTTGTCGTTTTCGTTTCCTGGTTTTTGTGGCTCAGGTTTTCCGAATGAAATTCAAATATCCATTTGGATATTCGTCTGCCCGACCACACAGCTTTGCTCTTTGATCAGACGTAGGTGCGCAGGCCTGCTGTAACTTGGCTCCTTTTATGAGCGCCACGCAAAGAATACTTATTGCTAAACTACAACAATAAAAAGTGGACATTAAAACTCACAACTCACTTCACAGGAATTTATACAAGCTGTTACCAAAGTCTTGACTTGAGTGATGCAATTGCAGAGAAGAGCGAGTCTATAAAAGATGATATGAACATACCCTGCATTTGAGGTGAATTTTTATAGAAAAAAAATGACAGAACAAGACTCTTCTGTTTGCTTTTTTTTATCGGCATGCCCTGAAGACTGGAAACTTCTCAAGATAAACCAACCTCACAATCAGATAAGTACAGAGAGAGACAAGAAAAGTAGGCCACAGGGGGCGCCGGCTTGGCAAGGCGGAGGTTTGTAGAACTTGAGGGGCTATTGCTCCACCACCCATAAGGAAAAACATTCCTGGAGCTCGTGAAGACACTGAAAACAGCCACATATCAGCCTCTATCCTCCGATGAAACCTCCGCTCTGACAGCCTGTATAAACGAGTCCTCTGTGAACAACTGTGCCACATCTCATAAACACAGAACGGCCGCTGCACAAACTCTCTCTTTAAAACAACACGGGGGTGTGGGGAGGTGACGAGCAACCGAATGAATGATAATTATGTTTTCTAATTATGTTGAATGTGCAGCCTGAGGGAATGAACTCAAGCACGAGTGTGGAAGTATTTAGAGACAGTTAGCGAGCTGGTCCGACAGGCCCAACCAGCAGAGAGCAGATGGAAAAACACCAGTCGGATCAACACCTGAGGGGCAGGTATGCCAGTTGAAGCCCCGGGGGAGGGAAAACAGAAGACAGGAACTTAGAATCATTTTGGAGGCTGCTGTGCTGTCGATGCATATTGTGTTATGCTGACTGCGGTTTCTATGATGTTGTTGTGAGGGGAGGCTAAAAAAGGAAAATCTATAAAGTTTATCAATACCTCTCTAAAACCTCCGAAACCCATTCTATCCAAACCCCTCCACTGGTATTACATCTGCCCTTGTTATTCGAAAGCCACTGTTATCATTTTGTATGAGGAAATAATATGATTTAAGTCACTACTTTACTTCCAACTCAGCTGCACAGACTCATTCTTGCTCCTCATTTTACTTTTTACAATTTTGCAGACGCTTTTATCCAAACCGACATACATCTAAGAGCAGAGGCAAGGATCTAGTGAGGAGAAAACAATCTAGATAAGTGCCATAGAACAAATTCAAGTGTGATAGGGCGTTGAAGCCAACAGCAGGCTATGTGGGAGGTAACAGGATTTTTTGTTTGTTCTTTTTTTTTTGTTTGTTTCCAGTCTGTCAAGTGCAAAGGTGTTCAATGAAGAACTGGGTCTTTAGTCTCTTATTAAAGACTGAGAGGGAGTCAGCAGATACTTGTTGACTATCTACTATCTAACCATTCATTCATTTACTTGCTTATTTACTGAGTTGTTTTGTCCTACTTATTTGTGGATTTACCATTTTTCTATTAATATTTCCACTTCATTCATGGATTCCACTGATCTGGCGTCCAGGCAGCAGTGAGGGGGATGGACTGGGAGAGCAGCAGCACGGAGACTAGAGCTGATTAATCAATTATTTGCCAACTAATAAATAAATTGCCAACTATTTTGATATTTGATTCAGTTTGAGTATTTTTTTAGGGGGGAATGGTCTAATTCCAGCTTTCTAAAATCTAATATTTCTTTCATTTTCGTTACTTCTCTATTAGAGTAAACAAAATATCTTTAAGTCGTGGCCACAACAAGACATTTTCGAGTTTGGGAAACATTTTTCACCATTTTGGGGCATTTTCTAGACCAAACGATAATCATTAGTTATGGCCTAACGTAGGGGGCCTGGTAGCTGATAAGCTCCCTTTAAATAGAAACATTCCCTCAGACCCAAACTAATGCCCCGATATAAGGGTTGGGGTAATTTGCTGAGTGTATTTTGGCAATAAACACAAACTACAAAAGCACTGAGGCAGTATTTTTGCATTTAGGAAAACATAATTACTCTCCTTATGATACAGAGTTAGATGAGCAGATTTTTAAAATGTCAGTCAGCAGCTATTTAGCTTCGCTGTTGTATTAAAACTGAAAACAAGGAGAAGCAGCAAGACTGTAATAAAAAAGCAACCAAATCTGCCGACCAGCTTTTCTAAAGCCTACTAATAAACATGCTGTATTTAGTTTGTTAACTGGTACAAAAACCAAAGTGGAAAAGCAACAATGTGCTGATTTCAAAGGGATTTTGAGCCTTTATGTGGCTTTTCTTTTGCTTTTAACAAGCTCGATGCAGTGTGTTAAAGCTGCATGGGGCAGAAATGGAGAAAAAAGCAACACAAAAAAAAGTAAAAACCATCCAGAATTTGGAAATACCGTGCTCCTCCTGAAGCTCTCCCACTTTCTGACATAAATTAGTTCCACAGGACGAGAGGACGCTTCAAACACGCAAAA